TGTCTACCTTTTTTCTTTGTTAAATGTGGTCCTAATTCAGCTCGCTGTCACTGATCTAGAACCAAGAAACCTTGGTTGACTGCAGTCTCAAAATTACACACTGCAACGAACCATAATGAAACCCAGAGCCAAACACATACCTGGTAGGATAGATCGCAGAGTATGACTATCTACAGTGCTCATGTCCTCTCTATTGCTTGAGGAATATTAAAGGAACACTATAGGGTCAGAACCCTATAATGAAAACCCACCATTTAGGTGGCTTGCCATCCTCCCCCCCTTAGCCCCCTCAGAATGGGTTAAAACTCACCTTAATTTCAGCTCTCTACGGGTCCACTGGTGCTGGCTCGGAAAGCATTGGATTGGCTAAAATCAGCAATTGGAGTGCCTCCACCAATCCACCAATCAATGCTCCTATTGCTCACCGAGGAATTCCAGCACTCCACCAGACACCATAAGCACTGCAGACCCCACTTCCAGCGATGCAGCTGCGCTGGGGTCTCACCGTCCTTCACCCACCTTAGACCCAAGACCAGGATCCAGCTTCCAGTGGGCAGACCTCTCCTACTCCCAGAGAGCGTAGCAGGAACAGCTCTTATAAGAGCTAGTGATTATAATTCCTGGGGAGTATAGGGATATAGCAATCCCCAGGTTAAATACATACAATTTTCTGAAACCCCAAAAGGTACCTTAAAACACATAAAACCCCATAAAAGTTACATCCCCTTATAGCCCCGATCTGGGTGAACAACATATCCAAATATCACCCAGATCAGTTCAGGGGTTCAGGAATTTCCTGGAAGTCATAGTTTTGACCGACCGTGCACATGGTCCTATGCCCAAAACAGTTTCAGGGAATTAGGGATAGCGGTCGGTCTCTCTTTATGGAGTACTTACATTACAATGAATGGAGCCTTTTAACGTGTATTGGGTAAGGTATATTGCAGGGCCCATAGTCACAGGGTAGGAGGCTGGCAAACAAGCCCCTCCAAAAACCAGTGGCGAGGTCACTTTCGCCACAAAGGGGGAGGGGCCAAACACTGTTTCGGCCAATCAGCACCTCCTCATAAAGATGTATTGAATCAATGCATCTCTATGAGGAAAATTCAGGGTCTCAATGCAGAGTGTGGAGATGCTGAATGTCAGGGCTGCCTACTATGCAGCACTGAGCCAGGAAGCACCTCCAGTGGCCATCTGAGGAATGGCCACTTGGACGTGTCCCTAGGGGCAATGTAAACACTGCCTTTTCTCTTAAAAGACAGTGTTTACATGAAAATGCCTGAAGGGAGCTATTGCACTCACCAGAACAATTACATTAAGCTGTATACTGTACATTAAGCTGTAGTTGTTCTGGTGACTATAGTGTCACTTTAAATCAGAGGATTATCATTTGGTCAGTATCTCACTAACTCTATATTACATAAACTGCACGTGTGTGTGTGTGTGTGTATTTATTAGAAATAATTTAATAAACCACAGCCAGTATAACAATGTCCATTTTGTAAGCTCTGTAGTTCCAATTTGCTTGTTTATTAAAGGGACACTATAGACACCCCCCTGGTTTCTTACCCCTGCTACGTAAAACATTAAGACATGGCAGTGTTTCCATTGCAGGACTAACACACCTGTACTGGTTGTCTTCCTGAGTTTGATTCCGTTTCCACACATCACCTCCTCTGAGTGCTTCTCTTAGAGGAGAACCATGGTGCTCAGCGCACATGAGCCTCTCTTTGGTAATACTCCTTTATGAGAAGCATTAGATTGGACCAGAAGATAAAAAAAAGTGAGGAATCGGGATGACGTAACGGGAGGAGGAGCCCAGAGCTGCACTGGAAGTAAGGTAAGTAAGTTACTTATAAAATTTAACTTATGGGGACCCTAATTCTAAATCGGGAGGATTCCACTACATCATTAGAAATACCTGTTCGTATTCTTAACCCTATTGCTTTATTCAATATATGCTCTTATACAAAGGGATACAGTATGGTTTTGACTTTGTGGGTAACATCCTATTTATAATAAAAACAAGTACAAGACATTAGCAAACATAGGCTTCTACATGTCTTCAGATCTATTTAGCTGGACGAATATTGCATGAAAATATTTAGACTCTGTTGAAAAAAATAGATTCTTCTCGTTCCCAATTTTGCACTAATGCAGAACTTAAATATCACCTAGTCTACATTGTATTCGGTCAGAAAACATTACAAAACCATTGCTTCTCCATTTCACATAAAGATAACAAGAATTTAGACAGCCATATGTGTTCCAAGTGTCAGAGGAGGCATTCTGGGGGCCTGTTTGCATTTGTGCATGCTGCAGTTTTCGAGTGCTTTGTTAGATCTCAGATTAAACTGATGTTAAAGGATATTGGCACGCACGCCACTAAACGTTTATTTATTGTCTCATAAATATCTGATATGTTTTGTAAAATATAAAAATGTGCTGTGCTTTATTTTAATGCTGTATTTTCTCCCTGGAAGCTGCGGGCACAGCTCTGATTGCTGATCTTTGAGATTAACCCCTTAAGGACCGGCCTGTTTTTGCGATGTTGTACGTTAAGGACCAGAGCAGTTTTGACACTTTTGTGGTGTTTGTGTTTAGCTGTAATTTTCCGCTCTCTCATTTACGGTTCCCATACAAATTATATATTGGGTTTTTTTAGGACAAGAAGGGCTTTCTTTACATACCATTATTTGTATCATCTCATATATTAAAAAAATAATAAAATATGTTGAAAAATTTCAAAAGAATACATGTTTTTGGACTTTTACTTGAAAAATATTTTACTTATCTACAAAAACTAATGAAAAAAAGTGCTAAATAGATTCGAACTTTTGTCCCGAGTTTAAAAACACCCAGTGTTTACGTGCTTTATTGCTTTTTTTTTTGCAAGTTATAGGCCTATAAATACAAGTAGGAAATTGCTGTTTCAATATATATATATATATTTTTTAAATTTATCAATAGTGACATTGTAACACTGTTATCTGTCATAAATCCCCGAATCACACCTCACATGTACATATTTTTTTAAAGTAGACAACCCAGGGTATTCAAAATGGGGTATTTCCAGTCTTTTTTAGTAGCCACTTAGTCACAAACACTGGCCAAAGTTAGCATTTATATTTGTTTGGGTGTTAAAAATGCAACAAAATGCTAAATTTGGCCAGTGTTTGTGACTAAGTGGCTACTAAAAAAGGCTGAACATACCCCATTTGCAATACCTTGGGTTGTCTTCTTTTGCAAATGGTATGCCATCATGGGGGTAATTCTCATTCCTGGGCTACCATACGCTCTCAAAGGCAACCTAACCAATCTGACAAATTTTAATAAAAAAAGAAAAAAAAAAGAAAAATCAAGCCTTATATTTGACCCTGTAACTTTCACAAACACTATAAAACCTGTACATGGGGGGTACTGTTCTACTCAGGAGACTTCGCTGAACACAAATATTAGTGTATCAGAACAGTAAAATGTATCACAGCAATAATATCATTAGTGAAAGTGCCGTTTGTGTGTGAAAAATGCAAAAAACTTCACTTTCACTGACAATATCATCGCTGTGATATGTTTTACTGTTTTGAATCACTAATATTTGTGTTCAGCGAAGTCTCCCGAGTAAAACAGTACCCCCCCATGTACAGGTTTTAGGGTGTCATAGAAAGTTACAGGGTTAAACACAGTGCTAGCAAATTAAATTCTCTAGACTTTCGGCCTGGGTTGGCAGGCAGGTCCCTCAAATTGCAATCATTAAAATTACTTAATTGTGTAAAAATAATACGCACGTAGAATTTTTATATATATACATATTTATATATTTGACGTCTACGTGTATATTTATGAAATTATTTATGTAATTATGTATATGGACATATGTATATTTCGTATTATATTTATTTATATATATATATATATATATATATCACAACATTCTAAGTGTATTTTGATATAAATATATATATAATATATATATATATATATATATATATTAATATCAAAATACTGTTAGAATAAAATTACATATATATATATATTTTTTTTTTTTAATTATTAAAAATAATTTTTACTTTGTTATTTATTTTTATTAACATATTATTTCTAATTTATAATAATATATATATATACACAATATATATAGTTATTATATATATTGTATATATACGTGTGCAATTTAAATTAAAAGTGTATTTTTATATTAATATATGTATTAAGGCAATTTTGCCTGTATTTGTGGGTGGGGCTTAAATTAATTCACTCCCCTATATAAGGGACACCCCTTACCTGACTCATATCGCTTGAGGTCAGCATCAGAATGATTTCCACTTCCGGGTCATCCAGACGCCATTTTACCTGATTACTCCATGAGGTTTTCTAAGCTGAGCTGTGTCAGGAATCCAGCCACAGGCTTTTCCGGCCTACCACCTTCTTTCTTCAATCTATCGCTGTGGATGGTGTCCAAGTGACTCACAAACCGTAAGTTGACCTACCCGTTACACCAGGCATCAGTCCCACGGCACCATGCAAGGGTCAGGTCCTCACTTTACTGCTGCATTTTGTCTAAGTCTGTTCTAAAACCATTGCATGTTCATGCATATCATTCATTTAAACCCCCTACTGGTCTTTGGGGGTACTACAGACTTCTTAGACATTATCGCATTTCATGTACAAACCAACAAACCACTGCATTTTTGCCTACACACTGACCCCTACCGGTCATTCGGTGTACTACAGGCTTCTCAGACATTATTGCATTTCATGTACAAACCAACGAACCACCGCATTTTTCACCTACACACTGACCCCTATTGGTCATTCGGTGTACTACAGGCTTCTTAGGCGTTGTTTGCATTTTCATGTACAAACCAATAAACCACTGCATTTACACCTACACACTGACCCCTACTGTTCTTTCGGTGGACTACAGGCTTCTTAGACATTATCGCATTTCATGTACAAATCAACGAACCACTGCATCTTTGCCTACACACTGACCCCTACCGGTCATTCGGTGTACTACAGGCTTCTCAGACATTATTGCATTTCATGTACAAACCAACGAACCACCGCATTTTTCACCTACACACTGACCCCTACGGTCATTCGGTGTACTACGGGCTTCTCCGACATTATTGCTTTTCATGTACAAAACAATAAACCACTGCATTTTCACCTACACACTGACACCTACCAGTCATTCTGTGTACTACAGGCTTCTCAGACATTATTGCATTTTATGTACAAACCAACAAACCACTGCATTTTTCACCTACATACTGACCCCTATCAGTCATTCGGTGTACTACAGGCTTCTTAGACATTATTGCTTTTCGTGTACAAAACAATAAACCACTGCATTTTTACCTACACACTTACACCTACCGGTCATTCAGTGTACTACAGGCTTCTCAGACATTATTGCATTTCATGTACAAACCAACGAACCACGGCATTTTCGCCTACATGCTGACCCCTACCGGTCAATCGGTATACTACAGTCTTCTCAGACTTTATTTCACTTCATAAGCAAACAAACTAACTACAGCATTTTCGCTTTTATACTGACTCCTATCTGTCATACGGTAGGATTAACCCCTTAGGGACACATGACATGTGTGTCATGTCATGATTCCCTTTTATTCCAGAAGTTTGGTCCTTAAGGGGTTAAAGGGTATTTTTACCATACAATCAGCATTTATGACCCCTACTGGTCAACAGCAAAACTGTCTTCACATGTCATATACAATTTACCAGCCAATATAAATTACACATAAGATTGTTTTAACCCCTTAAGGACACAAGACATGTGTGACGTGTCATGATTCCCTTTTATTCCAGAAGTTTGGTCCTTACGGGGTTAAACATAACCATAAACCATAAATGAAACTCCAGCACGGGCTCAAATTCAGGTTTAATTCACAATAATTTACATTTCACATCAAGACCAACAGTGGTTCTATCAACACTGCCACCTACAGGTCTGTCAAGTACATTGACAATTTTCATGGGGTTTTACAAACACCAAAACACTTACACCTATAGGTCAACAGACAAACAACATTTCACATACCAATCAGTATCCAACTACACTGCCACCTATAGGGCACTCGGCAGATCTCCAGTGCACTTGCATTTTGCAACACCATGTTCACTGACCCCTACCATTCAATAAGACATACAACAATTCACATAGCAAGCACTATATCAACATCAGGTATAAATACATATATTATTACACAGTAGCAGACGCGTCTGTATATACGTAACTGGTAATATAGTTCACATACATTTTTCACAGCACGCTGCTCACGCAACAGACTTTCCCCTAGCAAGGGGACATACAACATACAAGGTGGGGACAGACCACATTTTCACTTGTACATACGGCACTTAATGGGTTAAGATTGATACATATTTAACCAGTATGGCTACGATGCTTAATATTTACACATCATGGCACTTTACTTTTCACATATACTGTACGTATTAAGATGAGCTTGGTCTATGCCATATTTCCTTATGCCATATGGTTTTATCTATTCAGGTTACAGTTACTACTACAAAACCTATACGGATTGTCAGGTTCAATACCATACTACCAGGTACATACACCTGCTCACGTAGTTATCCATCTCTTACCTTCCCTGGAATAGTAATAGTGTACTGGCAATTAGGGTTCTAGGGCCCAATAGGTATTACCCCTTTTTTCTCTGCATTATGCTTCGGTTAGTGGTCCCGCGAGGCCAACACCCCGCCTCACACTCGGAGGCATACACCCCTCGGGCCACTCGTGAGCTAGCCGCCTCGCATTGTATCATAGAGAGGGCCTCACCTGTCACTCCCCTTCCTATTTTTCTGGTTACTGTCACCGAGAGGCCAACATCCTGCCACAATGTTCGGTGGCCACACAAAATCCCCTCGCGCCAAGCATAGATAGAGCCTCTCAAGCCACTTGGCAACTAGCAGGGCCTCACCAGTCACCAAAAAACACCAAGCCTAATCGTTTCGCCTTACGGCTTAGCTAGCAAGCCAGTACAAGAACCCTGGGTACAAATAATTGCATCTTTATTGTTATTTAAGTATTTTTCCAAAAGATGGTGAAGAATCACCTCTTCCTAGCACCCCGGCTAGAATTGATACACCTTCAAGCAGAGGAGATGTTGCTAGTCCTGCAGCAATCAGATCCTGGACGATCCCACACATTACCACCGACCTAAGGAGGTGACAAATCCCCTACCCTGCTACAGCAAGGAAAGCAGAGTTATTCAAACTCCTCCATACATCAACGGACAACACGGAGGCAGGGGAAGGCCCAGCTACATCAACTCAGGTGACACCCAGGCTATGCTAGCCTCACTCATAAACTCATGAGCCAAAAAATTTTATGACAGACTGGCAATCTCGAGTTGGTCACCACAGCCCTCACAAGGCTGGGCCTCACGTTACTGTACAACCAGCACCAACCGAAACTCGGTTACCTGGTACAATCAATTCTTATGACACACAAGATGTTAACCCTGCACGTATGATCCCAGCACATTGGGGAAGCAAGGCATATATATGTATGATGATGTATCTGTGATGGTCAGATTCAGGGATTCCAGGTAAATCGGGAACTGACCATCTCTTGGATGGGTTGGTATTTGGAATATGTAGAGATGTTTATTTGTGCAGGTACCCATACAGAAGGGGTTCTGTCCCAAACAAATGGACGAGCACTCTCAGGCTCCAGGTACCAGCACCTCTGAACTACCAGAGACGATTGATATGAGTAGTTGCATTGCATATAGACTGTTGCATATATGTTCAAATGGTTCAGGGCACATGACAAACCATGTGGCCCAATACAACTTACAAATAACGTACTCACCATCTGTACACACCAATGCATTTTCAACACTACTGACTCATCACCCTTCCAGACTTGTAGTAGATTTACTAAAGCTCTGGAGCTTCAAAGGGCTCCCATACAGGTATCATAAACACACCTTCAAGGAATATAGCATGCCCTCACTTACAGTCAGCACAACAAAACCATTGGCTGAAAACACACTCATAGCCAAGATTTGCAGAGTGGTCTTCCAATCTCCACCATTTACAGCATGGCACCAAACACACACATTGGTATTGTCACAAGGAATCTTCCCTTAAACAAAGACTAACCATAGACTTATTGGCACCACACACCTCCGCTACCCCAAGTCTCAACTCCCTTCTTACTATACAACACCATTGATCTACCTTTACAGCTATCACTCAAGCATGGGTTAAAGCTTGGTTAAGTAAGACCAATATCATCAACGCAGTAAACAGCTACCATCTACCCTACACACTGGCACTTACATGGCATAAATTGGGCAATCCTTTCCCTGCTCAACTTTCGAGCTACAGATTAACCTACTATCGATATTCGCAGATACTCTGTGCTGGTTATGATAACATATCCAGAGGCATTACAGTCATACACTATCTAGAAGACTTCTTGTTGCTCAAAGAAAGCATATTTTTCACTAGAAGCCTCATGGCAGCTTAGTCTGGTTGACCACTTGGGCGTCCCAGTACCCCATAAGAAACAGAAGGCGCAGACACTATCATCACATTACTGGGCATATGACTTGAGTCGGCATCCATACACACAAGTTACCACAAGACAAATAGGGAACATTCTCAGCTAAATCAATCACTACCTCCTGCTTAGTACTTACAACTACAAGGAACTACAATCCCTACCAGGTTCCTTAATTTTGCCATGCCAATCATACCACAAGACCACGCTTTCACATCCAGAGTACTTTCCCCTTTTTTCCACACTTCCAACATGACGATCAGAGGAGGTGCCTAGACACCTCAGCAACAGCAGACCTGCACATGGGGGGGGATTTCTTAACCACTTGGCATGGTAAAAGCATGTTCCTTCCAGGATTGTCTGACACTTCTCCAACCAGATGGTCAGACACAGCGTATACCACGGGTTTGGCAGCGATCTACCGGGAACAATTGCTTTGGGGCTGTTGGCCATGGCATCCAGGTTTGGAAATTTTTCCACCACTTCAGCCCCTTTGGGAGATCTACCCCATTGTAGCAGCTGCTGTGGCATGGGGTAAATCATGGTCAGGGTCATCAATCCGTTGTTACTCAGACAACTAAGCACATATCATATCATCAACAAACGCCACTACTCATCCATAAGTTCATGATGTTTCTGGGGAACTCACTTGGTTGGCCACTTATCACATTTCACTTTCATGTACCAGACGGGGGTATACATCCCTGCCGACAACTGTCTCATTTATATTCCAGGCATGTTCATCATACGCTTCCTACAGCCGCCCATACAGTCACGTCCACTCTTTCGTTCCAGAGACAAAATCATGGATTAGACATACTCATGCAGCATAGCATGCACTATCCCACCTAGCACTTTCGTCCCATACTTGTAGAACGCATAACACAGCTTTTCACCTGGCTTAAAGAATCTCATTGGAACACGACATAGCTCAACCTGTGTCACAAAATTTCTCCTAAGTTTTGCTTATTTTTGCCACCTTAAACTTAAACTATCTCATACACCATTAATTATATATTTTACAGGCATTCAACAACACATGATAACCTATGGCCAAAACTACCATAAACTTCATGCTATCATACCAGAAAAGAATATACTCAGAGGTTTTCAGGAATCCATTCCCCCACGTTCCTCTCAGAGATTACCAATAGCCATCCAACTGTTCATCCTTATCGGACCTATTAGATCTACAACCATTCAATTATACTACCAAGTCGGCCATTACCAGCCATGCACATTGCCTTTTATGCCTTTCTCAGGCCAGAGAATCCACTACCATCACCACCACTCAGACAGATCATTGTCTTCAACGATCCCACGTACGTAAACACATATATCATTACCTATTGGCTCTACCACATTCCGAAATGAGTCAACATGCACCAACAGTAGAGATAACATACTATCCTACCCACAACAAATGGTGCCCACTTTCGGTCCTAGATTCCTACCTTCAAAATCCTTTCAGGAATTAAATACTGTAATGCATTTAAGGAAATGTCTGGTTAATTTGTTTATATTTGTTGACTGTATTAAATCTTTGATTATTCATTTTTGCCCTCTTTATTTACAGGCCTACCGTATCGTCGGTATCGGCACACCACAACCGACTTGCTCTCTTTACACTATCCTAAGCTTATGCTGGATCCTTACTCCATATACGGCTATTTTGCCCCTTACACAAGTATTAAGGCAGTTTTGCCTGTATTTGTGGGAGGGGCTTAAATTAATTCACTCCCCTATATAAGGGACACCCCTTACCTGACTCATATCGCTTGAGGTCAGCATCAGAATGACCCTCCCACCCACTCCTCATTTCAACACTTTCTCTTTTCTTTCCATTTACTTTACTTTCTTACTCCTTGGTGGGCCCTCTTTATTTACAGGCCTACCGTATCGTCGGTATCGGCACACCACAACCGACTTGCTCCCTTTACACTATCCTAAGCTTATGCTGGATCCTTACTCCATATACGGCTATTTTGCCCCTTACACAAATATATATATATATATATATATATATATATATATATATATATAAAAATACACCTAGTATGACATTATATATATGCTATATAGACATATATTATCATATACATACATATTATTTTTTTTACACTGATTGCTTTATTTTTTTACTTTATTTTAGATTTTTCACTTGCAGGGAGACTGCCTGCCAGCACAGACAGTTCCCCTGCAGGCAGATACACAAGCACCTATTGCTGCCACGTGATCAAGTGATCACGTGGCCGCGGGGTCCTGATCTGCCGAGGGGAGACTGCTCGGGCAGACAGACAGTCCCCCTGGACCGGGAGGAGCGCTGATCGCCGCCCAGGGACTGACGGCGATCAGGTAAGTAGCCCCAAACCGGTCCCCAAGGGGATTTTTCCAATGACGGTCCTGAACCGTCATCGGTCGTCAAGGGGTTAACAGATACCAAAAGGCTGACACAGAATAACTACTCTTCAAAATGTAACTGTTTTTTGACTGTCACAAATGTAGCAGGCATGCTTGACTAAACAGTGTAGGAAATGGACATGCAAAGGTTTCCCTCTATATAGGCATTGTAAAACCAGTGAATATGGGCTTTATCAACAAAACAAGCTTTATCTTACAATCTGTAAGTTATAATGCATGTGTGCATTAGATTTGATTGTTAAAGGGACACTATAGTCACCAAAACCACTTTAGCTTAATGAAACAGTTTTGGTGTATAGATCATGCTCCTGCTGTCTCACTGCTCCATTCTCTGCCATTTAAGAGTTAAATCCCTTTGTTTATGAACCCTAGTCACACCTCCCTGCATGTGACTGGCACAGCCTTCCTAACAACTTCCTGTAAAGAGTCAGCTAGTGTTTATATTGCCTTTATGGAAATTCTGTTTAATTTAGAATTTCTTATCTCCTGCTCTGTTAATAAGTGTGTTTTACCCTGTAGGAGCCTCATGTGTGTAATTAAGGTTCAATTTACAGAGCAAGAGATTAAAAACTTTTAAAGTAAGTTACTGACTGAAAATTAAGCAATTTTATTTTCATGCTGGCTGTGTCAGTCACAACCAGGGGAGATGTGGGCTAGGGCTAGGGCTGCATAAACAGAAACAAAAGTGA